ACATTGGACAATCTCAGGTTTGAAGCCAGTCGGACTTTGGATAGCGTCTGGCTGGAGCAACGGGGCCCAATGGTCCAGCGTTTTCAGCAGGTATCAAGCAGTCACTGGCTCGGAAGTCAGCGAGTGCGGAACTTGTTGAAGTCATGAATCATCATACCTGAGTTTCACTTAGCTTTTATTCCTCTTTTTTTGCACAGTTTCCAGGCCTTTGCCTTCATCTTCCAGCTCCGGTTTGTTGGCTTGACCTGGTTTTTTTTCAAGTGTTGACATATGTGCTGAATTCCACAAGTCTCACACTTTGTTTGAGAAATTTCTCCAGAATGAAAAAAGATTGACCGGGATTTCCCTCGTTGAACTCTTGCCCCCTTTTGGGTTTGAATACCGTATCTCGAGGTTATGTGAGGAATTTGGCAGACTTATGGTCAAAGAGAGCAAGCACAATATAAGGCAGAAGAAACTTTTTTATTCCTGTGTCACGGAATTTCTCAGAAGCTTGCGAGGAAGTGATTTGCAGGTACTGTAGTTTTCTTTACCAAGGGGAAAAGGTTTCACCCTTTCCCATTTTTGTCGACATCATAAATCACTCCCGAGGACGAGGTTTCTGCTGTAATTTTTCACCAGAAGTTTTTGTTGTTGTTGCAGATTGAAGTGCAGGTAAAAATAATCGAAGCATGGCTGAATTTTTAAAGGCAGAACGTTCACTCCAATAATGACATTCCGAAACTCAATCTTTAATGGGTCATCAATTTTCAAATATTGGCACTGGTTCTAGACATTCACTTGCATAGTTCTAACTATATCCAATTTTCAAAAGTTGTCAGAATCTTCTTGGTGAAAAATTAATCATTTTTTATAAAGAAAATGCTTGAAGCTTCGAACACTCTTAAAAATTCCAACAAAACTGAGCAGTATTCTATTCCGAAATTCTTGCTGCTTGGTCAGAAAAGCCGACTCTTGCTCATGAAAATTTTGAAAAAAATGTTGTTAAATTTTTTTTGAAGAAAATGCATCAAGCAACAGTCAATGAAAAAGGTTGTTCGTCTGTTCGGCTTCAAACGACAGCAGTCGATAATTAACAAATTATATTTAAGCCCGTTTGTCTGCAAACAATTCAAATAATTACAAAACCTCGGCAATTAAAATCGTCTAAGCTAAAAGAAGCGGGTTTAATCTTCCCCCTTTGCTAATTTTTTTTATATATTCACGATATAGTCATACCAAGTCACGAAGATCGTAAACCCGAGGACTATTCGAAGTAATGTAAAATTAACTAAAATTCCCTTCTCCCTCGAAAATTGAAGAAAACAAGCACAAGGCAGAAGCTACTTTTTTTGTTCCTCTTTCGCGGAATTTCTGTAAAGCTTGCGATGAAATAATTTCCAAGTAATTTTTTTTTCTCGCTCAGATGAAATTTTTTGTTACAAGTGACCTAATTTTTTTTTTTTTTCATTTAAGCAGTCATATACAGCTTCGATAGCGTCGTAAGCTCAACGTTTAGAGTTTTAGACCAATATCCCGGACCTAGCAGTCAAATGAAGTCCCCCGACGTCATTTTTCATTTCAGTGATGAATCTGACATCCCATAAAGGAATAAGTACTGCCTTTTCATTCTTGGGAAAAGTACACCAGCAGAGATGCTCGTCTATCATAAATTATACAGTACTGTACTGTACACTTCTGCTGCGGGAAGCACGTGTGGTTCATTGTTGCTATTCGCGTTCTCGATAATCAGGAGCACACTGAGAATTAAAAAAAAAAAATATGGGTAAAGTCCTTTCCATCATGAACAGTAATGGTGTGGCAAGTCGATCGGAGGCGTGAGGAATGCCGTTCAACAGTTACTCAGCGTCATTATAACAGCACTTGAGAGCCTCGTTATAAGACCGCCTTGGGTGCTTCAAACAGCATTTCTCTCGTCGTCACGCGTTCAACACAACGTACGCACCCACTAGCTTGATTTATCACTTCCTTCTCGGCTTTGTTTCCGAAAAAAACCTGTGGGCCGTTTCCTCCAAGTATATATCCATTGACCCACATGCGCTGCAAACCTTCAAGTGATGTATTCGATTTCTGATTCGGGGGTGGATTTCGAGGTTTCGCTCTACAATGATTCCCGAAAACTTTTGCTCATAAATAAAAAGAAGCTTGAGTTGGAGATTTTCATGCGATGAAGGAAATATAGAGAGACGCGTCTCTCTACAAATATTGTGTCTGCAACGATTTTAACTGCGTAGTGAATTTTTTTTTGCCTATAGGATTTTCTCTCCATGCTATAGGAGTTCTCTAAATCGGAATTCTCTCTACAACGACATTTTTTTTTTCTGGTTGTCTGAAGAGAGGATAGGAAAAATTACTCGTTTATTAAGGAGTTGTTGTGGTCGTGACAGAGAAACACGGCATTTTTCTTCAGTAATTCCCTCGAATCGAAAACAGAGAAAGAGAGAGAGAGTTTTCATCCGTAAAAGGCGTGAATAAAGTTATGAATGAAATTTACGGATCTTGCAATTTTTTTTTACAACAGCAGAAGAGAAATGTGCATTTTTTCAGTGTAATTCCTGTTCTGAAGACGTAATTTTGAATTTCGTGTCATTTTTTGAAAACACTGGATGAAAAGCAATATTTTATTTAGCGAGTCAGTCTACTGAAAATGCTTTGAAAATGGCGTCGATTTTTGGACACCATTTTCAACGAATATCTAAATTTATATCTTTTCAGGCTGATGAACGCAATAAGAAGGGAAACAAATTGCTCGAAGTTTTCTTGCGGAACCGATTGAAATGGCCAATAAATGGAATAGAAATGGCAGTAAAATAATATCCGGCATGAAACTTTGATGCCAAAGCAGAACTGTGTTTGAAAGTAACTTGAAAGGTTCCAGGATGCATCATATCCATGGTCTGCATCACGAAGTTCAAAACGAGAAAAAACTTCAAAAAGCTTCTGAAGAAGAGAATCCTTTTCAAATTTTTAATTGAATATATTCAACAATCCTGAATATGTCACACAAACGCCTGCACCAAATATAAAAAGCGGACTGCTGAGATAAAAATATGGAGCATGCATCCATTTTTTTGAATTCGCCCCGAGATTTGATGTTTAATTAGCAGTCGCTGCATTTGTCGAACTGTGCGGGAGTCTTTGTTTCCACAGAGGAGCATGATTTTGAGAATTTAATTACAGTAAATTAGTAAATAATACTACACGCAAGGAGTAAGTTTAAGAAATTTCGTTACAGTGACTGGTCTATTTTCTTCTTTTTTCCACGCATTTTAAACGTTCATTTTTGTCGGTTGAACTTCCTTCAAAACTTTCAAGCCCATTTTCGTATGAACGACGGAGTTCTCTCGATTTAGTCAAAGAAGACAGGAAAACTTAACCAAGCGTAAGCACGTACTTCTGAGGAAAACTACTCGTTTATTTAGGAATTATTGTTGCGGTCGTGCCAGTGAAACACGGTATTTTTCTTCAGTAATTTCCTGGGATCGAGTCGCTTCGGTCGAAATCGAAATTTGAGACAGTTATTATCGGCGAAACAAAGGAGTAATCAAGAACACTTTTGCGTGAGAAAGGAAAATGAAGCAAGGATGAAGAGGAATTGGTGCACGGGAATTTCAGTTTCGATAGCAAGAAATTGGAGCAAAAAATTGTACTTCCAGGTGAGCTGTGATGAATGTAGGTCCACTATATGTAGCCGAATTTTCACTTCCGGGACATGATTACATTTTTCAGCTCACAACTGGAACCTCAATTACCCGATTTTTTTGATCAATTAATTTTCCCACTCCCACTGATGATATAATAACGTGTGTGAAACAAGGTGCTCATCCGTAAAAGGTAACCTACTCAATTTAATTATTTAATTCACCTCGTTGCACAACTTTCCAAGGCTACAAGCTGAGATGTAAATGAAGGGTGTCTGATTTTCACGCTTATTTTAAAATTTGAGTCACAGAATTGGCACGTAATTATAAATAGAGGATATTAAGAGATCCGCTCATTTGGAAAGATTGATTGGCTCATTAAATTCAATCAGAAATATTTTCTAGAAATAAATGACCACCTTCAAGATTTTTTACTTCATAATGAATGAAGACGATGAAGTAAGAGAGAGCAATAGGAAAACGGGAGGGTATTTAAATTTGCTTATTCTATGCTGATTTGAAACAAACGATCTTAAAAAGTATTTCAAAACTTGCAACGCAATAAGCCTTGATTTCCTTCTGATGGATGTTGAAGGTTTGGATACATTTTTCGACATTTTCTACTCAAGTTTCAAACTCGTTAACTTTGCCAGAAAATGGTATTCAATGTTTTGTTTAGCCAAATGCGAAGCTTTCTAATCAAACATTTAAAAATATTAAAAATAATCCCCACGGTGAGCAAGAATTTTTAAATTATTGTGCTTTATTTTACCCAGTTTGCTGCATGGAAAAGTGCCAAAAAAAACCGTATTATAGCGCAGTACTTTTCTTTCTATCAGATTTGATTCATCGACCGTTTCTTTGGAAACAAGACCAGTAATCATGAGAAAACACAAGACTGAAATCCTGATTGAAGTGATACTGACTTTCGCCTTGCTGAACACATCGAATATCAACGGGAAAAAATTAGGTGAGTATTTATCGTTGCTTGACAAGATATACATTTCCGTGAAAACAAAAATATGGACTTAAAACAAGAGAAACGAAGGTTGGAAAATCTCATTGATTTTCTATTCTTCCTGGATTTCATACCCGATTGTGAAGATTTCTTATTTTGCAATAGAACGAATGCAATAGAAAAGCAAATGCTTTCCTTTAAAAATTTTGCAGATTACAAGAATGTGAAGGCTTTAACCCGAAAAAATAATGTAAATCGCTTTTGAAAAGTTTGCCTAACGAAAGATATTGGAAAGTTTGCTTTTGAAAGGTTATAAAATATACTCAAATTACCGTTTCAGTTCACTTAAAAGCTTTATTTTTCCGGGGTATGTTGTCGCTTGAAAAGCCGTCGGCTGAATTAGTTTGACACGTTTTTTGTTCTTGACTATTTTGACACTAGGCTTGGACATATACTCGTGAATTTAATAATTTTCACAGATGTCAAGCATAATCTAGAAGAGGTATGGAAATTATTTTGCGAGCGAATAAACATAAACTT